TCCCTGCAGTGGCAGGCATCAGAATCTTTTTTAGTTCTTTTTTTTTTTTTTTTTTTTTTTTTTTTTTTTAAGATTTATTTTGTTTGAAAAGACAGAGTTGGGGGAGGGGGAGAGGTAGAGGCAGAGAGAGAGGTCTTCTTCACTGGTTCACTCCTAAATGGCCACAATGGCTGGAGCTGAACTGATATAAAGCCAGGAGCTGAGGTCAGCGCTGTGGCGCACTGGATTAATCCTCCCTCTGCAGTGCCAGCATCCCATATGGGCACCGGTTCTAGTCCCGACTGCTCATCTTCTGATCCAGCTCTCTGCTATGGCCTGGGAAGGCAGTGGATGATGGCCCAAGTCCTTGGGCCCCTGCACCTGCACGGGAAAACAGGAGGAAGCACCTGGCTCCTGGCTTCGGATCGGTGCAGCTCCGGCCATTGCGGCCAATTGGGGAGTGAACCAACGGACGGAAGACCTTTTTGTCTGTCTCTCCTTCTTACTGTCTGTAACTCTGCCTCTCAAGTAAATAAATAAAATATTAAAAAAAAAAGCCAGGAGCTTCTTCTGGGTCTCCCAAGTTGTTGCAGGACCCAAGCACTTGGACCGACCTCTGCTGCTTTCCCAGGAGCATTAGCAGGGCGCTGGGTTGGAAGTGGAGCAGCCGGGACTCGAATCGGCACCCGTGTGCGTGCAGGCTGAGACTTTCACCTGCTGCACCACATCTGGGTTAGCTGGGCTGCCTGGGGTCTGCCGTGCCACTGTGTCGTCGTGGGGCAGTGTGAAGATCGCAGCAGAGTTCACATGTGGAACTTGGGAGCTCCCCTTTGCCGCTCTTTGTTTTCAGAAGCGTCCCTCCCCCCTGCATCTGTTCGCCCCTTCTCCCTTATCTATGTACTGTTGGTCACTGACTTAGCACCTTTACTTGGTCGTGTTTTACATATGTCCAGTGTTTATGGGACCGTTCCGCTAGGAGCCTGGGCTTCTGTTTGGGATTTAGAGCAGGTGTGATTTTCTGATGAGTTGGATATGGGGGTGATGGTGGAAAGAGTGGGCACATGGGTGGAATCAATGATGATGATTCATTTCTTTGCTTCAGGAACTGGGAAGATGGTGGTTTTCAACTCATTTTTCTGATAAAGAAGACTGGGGGAGGAGCATGTTTGGCTGCAGTGCAGAGGGCGTGAAAACCGAGGTTTTATTTAGACATGTCACATTTGAGGTGCTTTCTAGAGACTCAGGAGAAATGTCAACCACGTGGTTAGATATTTAGAATCTGGAGTGCAGGGTAGAAGCAAGTCTTGGATCCACATTTAGTCATCAGAGTATCACTGGTATTTGAAATCGTGGAACTGAACCTACAGAGGACGTAGCTGGTGAGAAAGGGGCGCCCCAGCCCCCCTGCTGTGGGACCCTGAAGGACTCAGGGGGCAGGCAGAGGAGGAAGCCCTTCCGGGGAGCCCCCGTGGCCGACCCCTTGAAGGTGCGTGACAGAAGTCAGGGAGAAAGTTTCAGAACAGGGCAGGAGAGGAACAGCTCTGCTGGGTGCTGATGGAGAATTGATGACGTGACCCTTGGCTGGGCATCGCAGAGGCTCCCTGGGAGGGCCTCTGGCGGTGGGACAGACGGGGGCAGGGTGAGAACGCGGAGCCCACCACAGCTGCGGACCCAAAGTGCCTGCTCGGAGGGCTCGGGTGATTGAGGCTGCATGTTCAGCTGTGGTCCGTGCGTCCTCCCAGGCTGAAGGGGACCAAGTGATAATGGAGATGATAGTCTGGGCTGCAGTAGGGGAGCCCTGCACTTTTGAACAGCCAAGCTGCCAGACTCAGAGGTGGCGTTTGCTATGAATGAGCTGCAGCAGGCCCTCAGTTCAGACCTAAGGGACAGTTGGCTGAGCGGGCTTGACTTCATGGTCTTGTTGCCAGTGGAGAGTGAATTCTGAATGACAGCTCCAGGGACTTTAGAGCCTGCCTTTCCTGATAAGAGGAGCAGTTTCCTGCTGTTCGAGTTGGAGATTCCACGGCTCGAGGCTGTATGCAAAGACAGCTTTTACATTCAAAGTGTCGTCTGGCCAAGAAACTACAGTTGTTGTGTATGTTTGGAATTCGAGTTCACGGAAACTTCGTAGGAGTATTGGTTTGACCAGAGGTTGGGGTCCTCCGTGGACCCTCTGACGCGTAGGCTTGCATTCTGTGACACTGCATTCAGGGGTGATGATTCGTGGAGGTGTGCTCCTGTGTCGAGGCAGAGACGTGTGCCTTTGGCTCAGTGACGGTCTGTCTTATCCTAGCATCCGGGTGTTAGCCTTTGGACCCTGCCTAAGACAAAACACAGCCAAGGGAATCAACAGGCCCAGATCTTGTGTTTCCTGATCTGCTTTGGATTTTGGTGTCCAGCTTCGGTTTGCAACTGCAGTGTTTGCACCTGGCCCATTGCTGCATTCTGTAGACCTGTTGTCCTGAGCTGGTTCAGGATGGGTTAGCCCAGGCCCTTCAGTTAGGCCAGAATCACTGGTTCGATTCTGCAGTTGAGATGGTCTTTATCTCCCTGAAGGGGTGTCAGCCTATCCCAGTCTGCTTGCCTTCGTGTTTGCAAGAAGACCCCGTTCTAAGCCCTGGTCATAACAGAAGAGTGGGTCCAGCCATCACAGCGTAGCACAGGATAATGAAGATGGTCTGGATTAACTGCTCAGTGTTTGAACCAGCTAGCTCTTAGGTTCCACATTCCTGGCTGTCTCCTACCTGTGCCCTTATGTGCATCAGAAATTCTTGCAGGTCTTTGTGGGTTTCATTGCAAAACCATTAAACCCAGACCATAGAGTAAAAAGGTAGCTTGTATTTCTATTGAGTTCATTCTCATGTCGGTAGGAGGAGTGAGCCCCGGCTTTGACGATAGGAAAAGCAGCCTTCGGGTGTTGAGGAAGTCACTGTGCAGGCCGAGTGTCCATTAGAAATGTTTAGGACCAGCAGTGTGAGTCAAGTTTTGGAGGGGTGTGTGTGTGTGGATGGTGGGTATGTGTGTGTGTGTGTGGGTGTGTGTGTATGTGAGGGGTGGTGTGTGTGTGTGGGTATGTGTGTGTGTGTGGTATGTGTGTGTGTGGGGTGTGTGTGGATGGAGGGTATGTGTGTGTGTGTGGGTGTGTATGTGAGGGGTGGTGTGTGTGTGTGGGTATGTGTGTGTGTGTGGTATGTGTGTGTGGGGTGTGTGTGTGTGGGGGTGTGTGTGGTGTGTGTGTGTGTGGGGGGGTGTGTATGTGAGGGGTGGTGTGTGTGTGTGGGTATGTGTGTGTGTGTGTGTGTGTAGGGGTGTGTGTGTGTGGGGGGGTGTGTGTGTGTGGATGGTGGGTATGTGTGTGTGGGGGTGTGTATGTGAGGGGTGGTGTGCGTGTGTGGGTATATGTGTGTGTGGGGTGTGTGTGTGTGTGTGTGTGTGTGTGGCGTGTGGATGTGTGGGTGTGTGTATGTGTTTAGGTTTCGTTTGTTTTTTTCGAAATGGGAATATTTGCTCAGACTTTCCTGGTTGAACACCCGTGATCCAGGAGCCCTGAAATCCGAAACGTTCCGCAATCTGTAACTGTGTGGGCGGGGTGCTCCCCTGTAGCAAGTAGCTGAGCGTTCACACGTTTTCCCCAAAAAACGCCAACCTCACCATCAGTCGTTACGCGGAGGATCTTTGCTGTCTTCCTCCTCTGAGCTCCGTGTTTCATTGATGTTTTCATCCTCTCCCTATCTTTGGATGAAAAGCATTGCTATAAATAAATGGGAACAGTTCTCTAATCCAGAACCCTCTGTTATCAGGTTAGAGCGCATGGGACCATGTGTACATACGACAGATATTTCTAAGGCACATTTTATTATTTACTCTAGCTTAACACTGGTCTCCTAACTATAGCAAAATGCACTACTTGAAGTAACCTTTCTATTTTTTTTTTGATTTTTTTTAACTTTTATTTAATGAATATGAATGTCCAAAGTACAGCTTATGGATTACAATGGCTTCCCCCCCATATCGTCTCTCCCTCCCGCATCCCTCCCCTTTCCCACTCCCTCTCCCCTTCCATTCACATGAGGATTCATTTTCGATTCTCTTTATATACAGAAGATCAGTTTAGCATACATTTAACCTTTCTATTTTTTTTAAAAAATTTATTTATGTATTTATTTGAAAGAGTTACACAGAGAAGGAGAGGCAGAGAGAGAGAGAGAGGTCTTCCATTTGCTGATTTATTCCCCAATTGGCCCCAACAGCTGGAGCTGGGCCAATCCGAAGCCAGGAGCCAGGAGCTTCTTCCGGGTCTCCCACACAGGTGCAGGGGCCCAAGGACTTGGGCCATCTTCTACTGCTTTCCCAGGCCATAGCAGAGAGTGGATCAAAAGTGGAGCAGCCGGGACTAGAAACTGGCGCCCATATGGGACGCCCGCACTACAGGCAGTGGCTTTACCCACTACGCCACAGCGCCGGCCCCAACCTTTCTGTTAATACTTCTGTAGTGCAGGTGGGGTTCTAGCCTGAGAAGCCCATGTCTTTACCTGTAGGTCAATGCTTTCAGAGATACTTGCTTTGGTTGACTTTCAGAAATCTCTTTGCAGGAACCCTCATATTCTCTTTCTTTGGCTTTGGAACACAGTAGTTGGGTGAGAATAAGCCCCATAATATCTCACAGAACTGAATCACAGCCAAATTTGAATTATTTGTGCTTTGGTAAAGAAGAACTGGCAAGGGCACATGTTCCATGGCTCGGGTATTGTAGGCTAATTGTCACCATGGCAGTATTTGTTTGCTAATACTGTGTTTCTACATTTAAGCCGTGAGGTTCATCCCAGGAGAGAGGCCACTTGTGTGTTTCTAGTGGCAGTTGAGTGACTGCAACTTCATTATTGCAGCATTACAAGCTGTCATTTCCTGAGGACCGGAAGGGTCAGTAATTTGCTGTCTCGTGAGGCAGTGGTGTCTGCCTGGGCCAGACAGTGGGCTCCCAGGGGGGTGACAGTCTAACGTGGTAACTTTTAAACACCCAGATCAAAGAGTATGAAAAGCTCGACAATGAAGAAGACCGCCTGTGTAGAAGTCGCCAAATCTACGACGCCTATATCATGAAGGAGCTGCTGTCCTGTTCGCACGTGAGTGTCCTCGCATTCTGGGACGGAAGTCTGACGGTACGGGGCGGCTCTCAGTGCACCCAGAAAGGGAGGGGGCTGGGATTAGGGCCTAGAAGGAGGTTTGCAAATACAGAAATGCATTGCCAGGCTAGGGACCACCCCCTGGGGTTTGTTATTGGGTTCCTGGATATGCTGACCGAGTGTCTGTTGTGTTTTGTATGCTTAGTACAGTTCCCAAAGCTGACACTTGTTCCTGCAAAAAAAAAAAAAAAAAAAAAAAAAAAATCCATCCAATGGAGTAGCTAACTTGGATCAGTTGAAAAAGACTAGTCACAATTCCAGTTTTTTTTTTTTTAAGGAAATTAAACTTTATTATTTTAAATTCAGGTATACTTTAACAATTAAGTTAGTCAAATATTGATAAATATAAGCCTTACATGGTTCCTTTGGGTTAATAAGGAGGTTGTAATTATTATGTTAATTTTGTTCATTATCAGTTAAATAAAGGTTGAAATAATTTTTTTCCTGTAAAGCAGATGAACAGTCTAATTTAGTCATTAGGATAAATTAGGTTTCTAGGAAATTATTCCGCCAGAAGTAAGTGGGATAATCAGTCAGGAAAATCTGTCATGTAACCTCCTGGAGACTGTCTTCCAAAGGAGTGGGCTCGCCATCCAGGCCTGCTCGGTCCAAGACTGTGGCCACTAGCCCCATGTGCTTTTTGAATTTAAATTTGAATTAATTAAAATCATATGGGATTAAATATTTATTTGCTCATTTTCTCATGTGCCCTATTTCCTTTTTTTTTTTTTTTTTTTAATTTTCATACATTTGAGAGGCAGAGGAACAGAGAGAGAGACAGAGACATAGAGAGCACTTTTCTCCTGGCAAAGGCACCAAAGCCAGGAAGTAGGGACCCAATGCGGGTCTCCCACAGGGCTGGCGAGAACCCATTTACTTGAGCCCTTGGTGCTGTCTCCCAGGGTGCGCAGTAGCAGGAAGCAAGAATCAGGAACCAGAGCCGGGGACTGAAGCCAGGCACTCGGGTGTGGGGCGCGGCACTGTCCGGCGCAGAGCAGATGGCCAGCGCGTCCGTGTCTCCAGAGAGCCCGGCGGCGCTCACTGGCCTTTCCGTGTTACCTGCGAAGCCGACCCGCATGGAGTAACTGCGGCTGACGATGGCTTTTCCTGTAGCACACACTGGCTTTTTTTGGTTCTTGGACCCATCTTGCTCGTGGGAGATGGAATTTCTGAGCCGGAACCAGTCGCTGATGCCCAGTGCCCTGCCGCCTCGCCAGCAGCGGCTGAAAGCCAGCTGTTCCGCGAGGAGGCCCCGTGAACTTGGTTTTCCCGTAGCTCAGCGATTTGGGGGGTTTGGGGTTGAAAGCTGTTCGTATTGTGCGTGATAAAAGAAGACACAACTTGAAGTTGTGGGGAAGGACGCGGGTGGGCGTTCTCTGGGCCCCAGGGTCGCAGCCAGATCCGTCACACAGAGCCTCTTGCTGCGGCCCCTTGCCTGGGTAACTCTGTCCTCCAACTCTTACGTGTACCTTCCTGAATTTATTTTCTCTATGCAGCAGTCGGTTTATGTTCTCAGAACTCCATTATCAGCTATTGGAGGGGCATATGCATTTACTCAGCTGATAATAGGGTTCTGTAGACTTTATTGCCACCCTCTTGTGTGATTAGACATGCCAGCCTTGTCCCCCTGTGTGCCATCCTCCAGGCGCCCAGGGGAACAAGCCTTTGGGTGACCCATAAATATTCAGCAGAATAGTTCTTTTTTTTAAAAGAAGACTTGATCATACAACTACCCCAGGCTACTACTTAGTACCTCTGGTGTAAAATGCTCTCCTGTTATGATTCTGCATAACATTTCGTTGTTACTGTCTGATTCTCGAAAGCCATTCTCGAAGCAAGCCGTGGAGCATGTGCAAAGTCATCTGTCCAAGAAGCAAGTGACATCCACCCTGTTCCAGGTGAGGCGGAGTTGTCTCAGGGAACAGAATGAAGCGCATTTGCCCACCAGCTGGACTTGGTGATTGCCTTTTCATGTGCAAGTATGCCCAGGAAATTGGTTTGGAAGACCATGTTCTGGGATGATGGATAGTATTGCTCGTCTCCTCCTTGGAATGGGCTCTGCTACATAGTTCCTTAGAGACTTTTCTGGAAAAGGCCACCAGCACTTTATAGTGACTTTGGGTTCTAGAAAACAGCCAAGGAGAAAGCTTCCTGGTGCCTGTGAAGGGGTGGCGCTGTGGTGCCAGGGTGTGGGCACCCCCCATGACCGCACTCCAGAGTGAACGTCGGGCCACCTTTGAGGCACTGCTGAGCACCCGAATTCTGCCGTGGCTCCTCCTGTCTCGAACGTGTGCTTCCGTGTGGATTTACTCTCTGAGAAGTCCTGGGAAGTGAGGTCCAGCACGGAGAGGCTCATGTACTCATGGTTCTCTGAGCTTAATGGTTTCTCCTACTGCCCAAAGCCTTTTCCTGCCCTTCTTCCCTTGCAAAGATTTGCTTATTTATTTGAAAGCGAAACAGAGGCAGAGACAGAGATCTTCCGTCCACTGGTTCACTCCCCAAATGGCCGCAGCAGGCAGGGCTGGACTGGTCCGGTTTGGAGCCAGGAGCTCTTCCGGCCTGGTTTGCAGGGACGGTCAAAGTTCTCAAATGGTTACACGTGTTTTATGTTGCTGTGACAGAATGCCACTGAGAAGCGCAGTGATCCTCATAAATGAAAATAATAATTGTTTGCTTGCATTCTGTAATTGTTTAGAGTGAGGTGGTTTGATTTTTGGTTTGGTGCCTTAGAATAGTATTTATTCAAAATGAGTTTTTGGTGATTGTTTGGAGAAAGTGCCTACTGGGCTCCTAGAGCCCCGGGCTGGTAACAGATGGGATGGTACTTCCTGCCAATGCAGCCGGATGTGTGTTTCATCAAACGTGGTGCCCATCTGCGTGGGTGTGAGCCTAGGCTCTGACGTTGATTGACTTGACCTGGGTTTAATACAGTTAAAATTTTCCATGTAGTGGTTCCTCCCCAGATGTCTGTGGTGTCTGAGGCTGGGCTGAGGCCAAAGCCGAGAGCCAGGATCTCAATCCTGGTCTCCCGCATGGGTAGCAGGAACCCAGCCACTTGAGCCACTAGCCGGCTGCCGCCTTCCAGGGTCTGCACTGGCAAGAAGCCAGAGTCAGGAACTGGAGCTGGCAGTCGCACTTGGGCATTCCGGTGTAGAACACAGGTATCCTAAGCCCTAGGCCAAATGCCTGCCCCTGGAGCTGGGGGACCGTGGGCGGGTCTGCGCTTCAGACAGGGCCTCCGGTTCCCGCAGCTTCCTAACCTCCGTTTTCTCACCCATGAGTGGGGATGACCGTGGGCGCTCCCTCTGAGGAGGATCTAGAAGACTCAGTGAGAAAGCCACACACAGGTTGCTTCGCCCTGGGCCTCCTGGCACAAGCTCCCCATGGGTTAGCCGGCATCTTGAATCTTACGCTTGCAGAGGGCAGTGGGAGTATCAGCTTTTTGTTGTCTCCATGATAGCTGAGTGTCAGACTTTCAGTTTTCAACCAACCTTGCCGTGGCCCATGGCCAGCTGTGGAGTCACATTTAACAGTGCCAGCCTGTGCCGCCTCGTCATCCATGGTCTTACTGTTCCCTTTTAGCCTGTCCCGTGGCATAAACAGCGTAGGAAAAACACCATTCCAGGTGACACACAAAGACATTCACATTCGCTTAAAACACTGGCCGATTTATTTTGTTCATTAAAAAATGATTGAAAATACTTTGGTGAATTTGATAGAGGATGGATGTGGTGAGGGGAGCATTGTGGTTAAAGTAGACTGAAAGGTGCATGTTTGCGTGTCCTGTTTATAGAGGTGCATTAACCAATAAAGTCTAAGTCCGTAGCAAGACAGAGATGCAAAATGAGTTTTCGACTTCAGTACCTGGGGGCAGGTGTTTGGCCTGGCAGTGGAAGATACCGGTTAGGATGCCCACATCCCATGTCGGAATGCCTCGGTTCCAGGCCTGGCTCTGCTTCCAGTTCCAGCTTCTGTGTGGACCCTGGAGGCAGCAGTGACAGCTCAAGTAATTGGTGTTCCCTGCCACCTCCGGGGGACCTGGATGGAGTTGGCAGTCCCGGGCTTCACAGGGATTGCGGGAGGGAGCCTGCAGAAGGGGGTGCATTCGTTCTCTCTGTCTCTCTGACTTTGCCCCCCCCAATCTCTCTCTCTCTACCTCTCTCTCTCTATCTCTCTCTATCTTTCTGTGTATATGTATGTATGTGTCTCTGCCTCTCAAAAAAGTTGAAAAGCAAAAATGAAGTGACTGCAGAGGTACATTTGGAAGTCGGGATCAGGGGGTCTTGGCTTGTGTCTGGCCCCGGCCCTGTTTGTGGCTCTTAACATTCTTAACCTTATTGAATTCTCATGGTAGGCTGGCGTATTACATACAGCTGCCCCCTTTACAGACGGAGGAACCGAGGGTCTCAGGAGGGAAGTCTGCTCAGGATCCCACTGCTGAACTCCGGTTCTTCCTGGCTTCACTGGTGACCATGTGGCGTATTAGTTATGATCTTAAGAATTCCAAATGAGTATTGCCTTTTACTGTATTCATGGAAAGTATGGGATGCTTGGTAAAATGTGAAAGGATTCACTAACATTTATATGCTGGTTTATTTTAAAGTCAGAGTTAGAGAGGAAGAAGCAGAGAAAGAGATTTTCCACCTGCTGGTTCACTCCCCAGATGGCCGTGACAGCCAGAGCTGGGCCACACAGGAGCCAGGAGCCAGGAGCTTCTTCTGGGTCTCCCATGATGGTGCAGGGGCCCAAAGACTCGGGCCATCTTCCACTGCTTCCCCAGGCACCTTAGCAGGGAGCTGGATCAGAAGTGGAACAGCCAGGACTTGAACCAGTGCCTATGTGGGATGCTAGAGCTATAGGCGGTGGCTTTGCCCGCTACGCAGCAAAGCCGACTCCAAGGTATTAGTTTTAATAAGCAGACATCTGTGATAGAAGAATTTTGCTGCCTTGTAGATCTTGGCGCACTGAGTTCTATGTTGTCGTTGAAGTCTTTGGGGCCTGCTGAGACATGAAGAGCGCTCGGCTGAGACGGAAGCTGCTTGCCATCGTGCAGCCCTGGGGTTTCAGAGGGAGAGAGAGAGAGAGAGAGAGAGCGAGCGAGCAAGCTCAGCTTCCCTTTCAGGCCCCTGTGGATTTAGCAGCCAGCCCAGCGTGCCCTTGGGGCCGGGGTGGTCCTGCAAGGTGACCCGTGTCCCACTCTCCCACCTGCCTGCCTTTCTGCTGCAGGAAGTGGTTGCCCCCAGCCTGGTGTGGCTACATTGGCCTGTGCAGTGGCCACTGCCATGAGGTTTGACCATTTGGTTCTGTGGTCTCCTCGTTCTTTTGGTGAACCCTCAGAGTGATCTGTGATGACACAGGGAATATTAACCTCGCTTCATTCAGTGCATGTAGGGTGTCAAGGTATTTTTCCAAAGTGATGTAATTGACTGGGCTGAACTGTGAGATAGAGGCATTCTAAATGAGTGTACTTCCAAAAAAATTCATGGAAAAGGAACGAAAAGTTCATTTTTGTGCAAGAACATTTTGATATCTGGGCCCAGTACACATTTTCCATGAACTTTTTGAAGACACCCTCTGTGTTTTTATAGTTGTTGATTTAAAGTTCATCATATGGAGAGGGAAGGTTTGTGCTCTGGAGCAGTGATGTGCAAAGCCGTGTGAAATCGAGGTAGGTTGTAGTGTTTCCTGCAGTTGTTGCTTTAATCCCAGGTGGGCCATGACCTTGCTCGGAGACCTTGGGAACCCCCCTGGCCCCAGGATAAGGAGATGAATTAACTCTGCTCTGTGATTACCATTAGCTCTGTGGTTCCAAGAGGTAGGAATTCAAACAGTAAAATAGGTAACCAAAAGGAAATGCTCCGTGCAGTTTATTAGCTTTATGTTTTTAAAGAACTCAGTAATAATGAAGATTATAAATGCTCTTGATAGTTGACAAGACGTGCTATGAATACCCATGGCTCAGGGTTCCAGAAATGACATGTGGAGCCTACTGTTCAAAAAGCAGCAAGAATCTCAGGATGGGGCTGGCGCTGTGGTGCAGAAGGTGAAGCCACCGCCTGTGACACCAGCTTCCCACATGGGCACTGGTTCAAGTCCTGGCTGCTCCACTTCCAATCCAGCTCCCCGCCAGTGCACCCGGAAAAGAAGGTGGCCCAAGTCCTTGGGCCCTTGCCACCCGTAAGGGAGACCCAGATGGAGTTCATGGTTTCTGGCTTTCACCTGGCCCAGCCCCGGCTGTTGCTGCCATTTGCAGAGTGAACCAGCAGATGGAAGATCCATTTCTCTCTCTCTTTCCCTCCCTATTACTCTGCCTTTCAAATAAATAAAATAATTTTAAAAAATTGAAAGATGGTGACTGCGGAGCCTTAAACCATGCCCTGGGAAGCATAGCCCCTAAACTAGCCCTGGTCATTACGGAGTGGCTGTGACCGCCTGGAGCCACGCTGGGCAGAAATCTGTGTCTGAAATCTGGTGTAACTGGCAGCTGTCAGTGACCACGAGGGTGACTCCTCTGGTGAACACTGGGCATGAGCCAGAGGGCGCGGCTGCCAGCGTGCCCGGCCGGGAACGGCCCAGCGGGTCTGAGTCTCCTGGTTTGCGTTTTCCACTTTGTTGCACTCCTGTTTACACAGTGTGGGATTTCTTTTCCATCCTTTCCAGCCGTACATAGAAGAAATCTGTGAAAGTCTTCGAGGCAACATTTTTCAAAAGTTTATGGAAAGGTATGAAACTTTGCTGTATCTCTATCCCTGCGTGGAGTCTCGTGTTGTGTAGCTCATTTTACCCCGTGAGTGCTGCGCTCAACACGTGTGACTTCAGGGACCTCACGGGCACCGCTCAGCATCTCTGACCATTCAGGTCTTCAGCTTCACAATGATGTAACATTTCAGTAGGGCACCTCAGTGTTAAAAGTGACTTCTCGGAGACCTTTGCTAACGCAAATGTGGCTAATTTATCTGATGGATTTGTTTGGGTTTTGAAATCCTACCTCCCAAAGCATGACAAGCCTGAACTCGGCTCTTTACGTAGCGATCAGATTCAAGGGCATAGGCCATGTTCCGTTTGTGGTTGTAGACGTCATCCTGCCCGTTGGAGGCGCTGAGAGTACGGAGCACGTGGGTCACACAGTGTTGGGACGTTTGCCAGCGATGCCTGGAAACCTCACAGCCTTTTCAGAAAGACAGCTCTCAGCCGGCCCTGCAGGTCTATGAGCGTGCGTCTGCGCTAGCGCACCTGCACCTGTCTCCAAGGGCTTGGCCGATCTCTCCCCGTGATGGCTGTCTTGTTGCCCGAGCAACTGTCCTGCAGTCTGCTCCTCTGGCTTGGCCACAGAATTAAAGCCACTTGTAAAAAGCCGCAGTGTGCTCGCGCTGGAGCTCAGTGGGTGACCTTACCCCAGCACTTCACACAGATGGCTCCAGTCTGCTGTGTAGCAGCAGAGTCGACGTGAGGGTGTGGCTGCAGGCTTGGGGCGGGGGAGGGGTAGGTGCTTCAGCCCCAGCCCAGGCAGCCTCCCTGTGACCATCCGCTGCTCAAACTTGATTTTACGTGCTCCATGGCGGGGTGGGGGTGGGGCGCAGGGCTTTCCACGGCTGTCTCTGGTCCCCAGGGTGCCACCTCTCGCTCACCCCCACCTAACACACACAGCAGGTCTGCCTCCTGCAGCTCACCACTTCCTTCCTCACAGGAAGTGCACAAAACTGTTTGCATTTCAGGCAAGCATCCACCACGGGTTTTCTAAAACAGTTATAATTTTATACATTATAATACAATACATTATTTTAAAAGTCCCTGTGTTAATTATTATACCTTTCTGGCTGGTACAGACTCCAATTAGAAAAAAAATACACTGTCACCAGGTCACGAGTGTGGAGTCTGAGTTGTGAAAAGCACAAGCCCTCTCTGGTCATGGAGCCCTGGGCATCACAGGGAGTGGCCACTGTGCAGGGGGCGGGGCTTCTGCCGCCTCCTGAGGCCTCAGCGGGGATATGGCTGCGGTCAAGGTGGGCTGAGTCTCAGAGCAGGAGCTTTGGCTCCTCTAGCAGATGCCTGGGAGCATTCAGGCCGTGAACTTCACTGCTCCACCTGCCAGCCCATCCTGCCCCTGAGGTCCTCTAAGTCAGCTCGGCCCGAGGCCCTGTAATCACCCAGGTATTTCCCATGCCAGCTGTGGATAAGGGCAGTGAACGTTAACCCCTGCCAGCAAGCTGTAGGCATGTCAGGTCACCAGCTCTCAGCTCCCAGCTCCAGAACCAGCGAGGAGAGAATAGGTGAGCGTGTGAACACGTGGATCTGAAAGACCCCAGTCCTGGGTTTCATGATTGCAGAGGATACCAGATGGCACTGTGCCTTTTGCATGCACCGGGCTGGAAGAAACTGAAATAACTCTCAGCTAAAATTTCAATTGGCCGGCCTCATCAACTTGCCGGTGGATCGGTGAAACATGTATTTTTTTAAAAATTTATTTATTTAGAAGAGCTGCAGAGAGAAGGGGTTCACTCCCCAAATGCCTGCAGCACCAGGCTGAGCCCGGTGAAGCCAGGAGCCCAGAACTGCACCCACGTCTCCCACATGTGTGGCAGGGCCCCAAGCACTTGGGCTGTCCTCCAGTGCTTTCCCCGGCCATTAGTAGGCAAACTGGATCAGGAGTGGAGCAGCCAGGACTCGAACAGGTGCCCATATGGGATTCTGGCGCTGCATGCAGAGGCTTTACCCACTACGCCACAGTACCCACTCCAGTGAAAGTCTTTACATAAGTCACTTTAGGCGCGTTGAAAAGAGTTGCTATGTGATTACGGAGAAATCTGCGATTCACTTTGATTTTGATGAGTAGCCTCAAAAAGATCCTTACTTTTTGGAAGGCGCAGTTAATGGAGCGCCCAGGGAATTGTCAGTGTTGGATGTTTTCAGGCCTTCTGTGAGGACCCTGTTGACACCTGGAAGTTGTAGCTTAGAAGAACACACTCCCTCCCTCCCTCTCTTCTCCACTCTCTCTCTGCTAAGAGGCCTGGATCCCGTGTGTCTGTAAGGAATCGTGCCCAGGGCCAGATGAGATCCAACCGTCACCAAGAGCGTTCTCTGGTTTTTAACTACTCAAGCTAGAACACACTTCTTTGAAACACTTTACATATATGTTGCTCATTAAAAAAAAAAAAGTAATCAACATGAATTCTCATGGAATAGATATGGGGTAGATATTTTCCTCCCTTCTCGGGGGAAGAAGACACCCACCAAGCAGTCGCGTGATGCCTGGAACATCCCAGCGGCGCCAGTGCGCTGTGTTGCCCCCTGGGGTTCCGCCCTAAGGGTTCTCCTCCACACGACTTGTATCTTGAGAGGCAGCGCCAAGCCTTGAGCAGATGACCTGGCACCCGTTGGTCTGTGTTCAGATCTGCCCCCCCCCCCCAGTCCCCCACTGTCTCGCTGTGTGCCTGTGGCGCCTGCACATTGGGCTGCCTTGGTCTTCCTAGCTGTCCAGTGGGGACCCTGATGGTTCCCAGAGAGTGGTGGGAGGGGCCCTCAATGAGCAGGATCTGGCACGCGGCCGGCGCTGCTTGAGTGTCTGCTGCCATGATGAGTATCTGCAAACACTGATTTTTTTTTGTCTTTTAGAGCTGTGCTCTGCAATATGGCAACCACTGGCCAAAGTTACTGAACACTTGAAATGCGACTGAATTAAAATGTGCTGTAAGAAATGCACACCCGCTTTCAAGGACCATAGAAAAACGGGTGTGCCACACGCCCTGTTAGTAATTTCATATTGATTACACACTGAAGCCATAGTTTGCGTATATTGGGTCATGTACGCTATATAATTAAAATTAAATTGCGGTGTGGCACGTGCTGTCTCTGTTTCGGACAGTGTTGGTCCAGGAAAAACATGCAGCCATGTCTGTGTCAGTGAAGGACACACATGGAAGCTTTGATTTGTATCCTGTGGATACTGGTGGATGCCTCGTGCCAGAGCATTTAAGAAAACTTGCTCCGTTTGAGAAGCAACACAACTCATGCAACCATAGTTTACCTGATGATACTGTTCTGTCGAAAGCTAGTGTGATATCTAACTTTTCGGTAATTATCTGTGTTCTTTTTTAGTGACAAGTTCACTAGATTTTGTCAGTGGAAAAACGTAGAATTAAATATCCATGTGAGTATTTTTTTTTTTTTAATAAAAACTTCCTGTGGCTTCACCTCGTGAGAAAATACTTTGTTCCAGAGTTTGCTCCCTCAGGACTGGCTGCCCAGCCTGTCACTCACGGTTCCGCATCTTAAAACCCGCCCTCCTGTGCTCCTCTATAAACAACTTGTGTCTTCATTCTGTCTTCATGTCCACGGAAGAATGTGCTTATTTATGTAAGAAAGAATATTTTAAGGAGTAACTGACCCTTCCACAAACACAGTTTAAAAAAAAAAAAAAAACCCTTCTGCTAGCTGTAACTTCTGCACGGCCTTGTCTGTGGCCACTTATGGGTTCCTTTTCTTTCCTTAATTATTGGCTATAACCATGGCATTGGAAGTCATGAGCAGAATGCTGACGTCATTTAGCAGACGAGGGCTTCTCCATCTATTTTACTATTTTTTTAAAGATTTATTTTATTTATTTGAAAGTCAAGAGTTACAGATAGAGGTAGAGACAGAGAGAGAGGTCTTCCATCTGCTGGTTCGCTCCCCAGATGGCTGCAATGGCTGGAGCTACGCTGATCCGAAGCCAGGAGCCAGGAGCTTCTTCCAGGTCTCCAATGCGGGTGCAGAGGTCCGAGGACTTGGGCCATCTTCTGCTGCTTTCCCAGGCCATAGCAGAGAGCTGGATTGGAAGAGGAGCAGCTGGGACTAGAACTGGCGCCCATATGGGATGCCAGCGCTTTAGGTCAGGACTTTAGCCCACTGCGCTACAGCGTCAGCCCCTTCTATTTTACTATTTTAAGAGGGACAAAAGCCATCTCCAAATGCAGGCCCCTTTCTCACGTGCGTTTCCATGGTGCCGTCTTCTCTTGGCATGTCCGTATTGCAAGGGCATGGTCTTCCTTTCACTTTTATTGTATTGAATTTCTAAAAAACTGGATTTTCACTTTGAAAGGTAGAGAGAGTGTGATCAATCTTGCATTGCTGGTTTACCTCCCAGATAGCCTCGACAGCTAGGGCTGGGCCACGCCGTAGCCCAGAGCCTGGAGCTCAGTCTGGAAGCATCCCCACGGCCTCCCGGGGCCTGCATTCGCAGGAAGCTGGAGCCGGGACTGAACCCAGGAGCGCCAGCATGGGATTCGGGTGCCCCAAGGAGCGTCTTATGCACAGCACCAGGCCCTCCTCTCCTCACTTTGAGGACGCCCAGTTCTGGCTGCAGCCTCTCACCTTTTACCCAGTCTGCCTTCATGTGGGCTTGCAAATGGCCAAAAAAATCAACTAGGTTTTCCATTTTTTTTTTTTTTTAAAGAGCTTTACTTGAAAGATACTGTTGGAAGAGAAGGTTTTTTTTTTTTTTTTTGTTAAGCCACCACTCATCCATCTTCTTCTCTGGCAGGATTTAGAAGCAGGAGGGAGTAACACATTTTAAAAATATTTATTTATTTGAAAGACAGAGTTAGAGAGGGAGACACGGACATCTTCCATTCGCTAGTTCACTCTCCACATGGCTGCAACAGCTGGAGCTGGGCCGGTCCCAAGTAAGAAGTCAGGAGTTCCTACTGGGTCTCCCCTGTGGATGCATGGGCCCCAGACCATTTCCCAGTTGTATTAGGGAGCTGGATCCAAAAGCGGAGCAGCCAGGACTGGAGGGAACTGGCGCCCGTTCGGGAAGCCAGCACTGCAGGCCGTGTCTTTCTCACCCTGCCACACCACAGCACTGGCCCTGGGAAGAATGCATTTTTAAAAATCTGGGTCTTCCTTCTGCCTCTGCTCCTCCGCAGACCCCATGTCCCTATCCCCGAGCGTCGAACGTGAAGCTCGCGGCCCGCGTGCAGGCAGAGGTGATGCGGATGTGGGGTCGTGAGGGTTTCCTGAGGGAGCCCTTCAAGAGTCCCACCTTAACTTGCCAAGACAGCCTGGCGTTTGGTGCTGTCTGACAGTCCCTCACCATGAATGGGGGATGCGCTGTCTGCCTGTGACCGTCAGCGCTCTTACAGCTACTTAAGAAATGGGCGTTCCTGAGATGTTGATGAGAGCGCTTATGAATGAAGCCCCTTTGTGCCCTTACTCTCACGCAGTCTTGTCTCATGCTCACATGTCCAGCACGAGTTCTCTCTCCTCACTGATGTTATCCATAAAAAAAAAAAAAAAAAAAGCAGAGCCTGTGTCTGCCGGGCCCCCTGCCCCTGGGGCCTGCGGCCAGGACCACACAGCCCTTCCTCTCCTGCCGTGGTGGCTCCAGGAGTCGCTGCTTGTCCCCAGCCCCTGGGCTGCAGAGTGGCTGAGGTTGCTTTGATTTCGGACCAGGAATCTCTCTCTCTCATGGTCCAAAGATAGATGAGATGTGTGCCTGGTCTTACAGTCTAAGATCGGTCAGAGTGGGCGAACCCTTGGCTTTCTTGGTTCCTTCTCGGTCATCCTCCCACTCTCTTCCATTCATTTAGCTCACAAGCAGGGCAGAAGGAAGTTGTAGAAGGTTTGGCTGCCTTGTGTGTGAGGATACTTGAAAAAGTTCATGGACAGTGCAAGTCCACACATAGATTTTCAGATGCACTTGGCATGAACTTTTCGAAGGCCCTACCTAGCTCGTCTTTTGGCTGAAGGAACCGGTCAGCCATGCGCAGGCTTAGATCCCTGTGTCAGAACTGCTGTTGCAATTATTGTTGGTATCGTGTGCCCAAAGCAATCTTTAGGACGCCACGATTTTCTGTGGTTTACGTTTGCCTTTTGTGTTTTGAATCCACAGTTGACCATGAATGATTTCAGCGTCCACAGGATCATCGGACGAGGAGGATTTGGAGAAGTGTATGGCTGCAGGAAAGCAGACACTGGAAAAATGTAAGCTCCCTAGCCCAGAGCTGTTCCTTGCACTGGCGAGAGGATTTTTGTGCTTGCGTCCCAAGGGGGTGGTGGGCAGATTTCTCTGCATAGAAACGGAGCGGTCTGTGGCCCCGCTCTGGCAGCTGTATTTTGTATTTCACTAAGCAGGGTAAGTGAGTCCCATAAGCTGCACCGTAACCACGTGCCAGCGCCCACCCTGGTTCAGGGCCAGGAGCCAGGGGCTCAGAGATGGACAGGGAGTGATTCCTGACGACCACGGACATGTTGCTGTTCCTGCCTCCCAGGCGGATCAAGCTGCAAAAAAATTATTCTCTGGCCAGAGAGAAGAGAGAATCCCTTCTGAGTGGAGACGCCCCTGGAATGTCAGCAGTCTGGGGGACACAACATTTCCAGCTGTGTCAGTCCCTTAGCTCCATTGCTGTGGTGTTGGAGAAGCGGAAGCTGGGCTGACAGTGGCCGATGGACAGAGAGCACCATCACTCAACTCAGTGCCGTTTAAAAAAATCTGTTTGAAAGAGAGAGAGAGATCTTGCATTGGCTGCTTCACTCCTCAAATGCCCATAGCTGCCAAGGCTGAGCCAGGCCGAACCTAGGAGCTCAGAACTCCATCTGGGTCGCTCATGTGGCTGGCAGGGACCCACTTATTTGAGCCATCACCTGCTGCCTCCCAGGGTGCACGGAAGCAGGAAGCAGGATCTGAAGTGAACTAACTGGGACCTACACCAGACTCTCTGGCATGGGATGTGGGTGTCCCTAGAGGCATCTCTTGCCCCTGCGCCCAAGGCCCACCCGGCCTCAGTCCCTGGCTCAGGGAGCAGGGTCTTGGAGCAGGTGAATGGTACCATTCTTAACCCTAGGCGAGTTTTTCCTTTTTAGCCGTTAGGAGTAGCTGAAGTGAAAGTTTTAGAGAGCAACCGAGAATGGAGGGGTGTGATGTGGCAGGCCCCCACGCTTACAGGTCTGATGGAGTGACAGGCATGTCGGAGCAACGGGCAAGGAAGAGTCGTCTGGGAAACTGGGTTTCTGAAATAATTGAGTCAGTTTACGAAGGAGTGTCTGAGGCCGCTGGATTCAGTACCTGCTGCCCCGTGCCGCCCAGCCCCGCCTGTCCGCTACCGCCCAGCCTCTGTGTGACACTTTGCCTGGCCGGGTGCTGACAGCTCTGTCGAGTGCTCCTTTTGGTTCTCAGACACATCCATTGGCAAACTTTTTTATTATTATTATTATTTGAGGGCTGAAGTTTTCCGGTGCTCCTGCTGTGGGCCCCTGTGTGGGGTGATCCTGGTACCTGAGCCCCTGGGAGTTGGAAGTCTGGCCTCGTGCTGAGACAGTGAAGCTTAGTGATCCAGATAGAGGGTCCCTGTGTCATACTTGTGAGGTCGGGGATGGAGTCCACACTGTGTGTCTTGGGTGCCGTTCGTGACCTCTCTGTGCCTCCATGTCCTAGACTGTGAAGTAGGGATGACAGAAGAATGGTGTTGTGAGAATCGCACGAGATAATACATCGGGAAGCATCTGTAACACTGCACATCCTGCGGAATATGAACTTAAACTTGCTGGGGCAGGAGGTTGGCTCTGCAGCGAGGACACTGTCTGGTGGTGGAGCACCTGGCTCGAGTCCTGCCTGTGCTCCCAGCTCCAGCTCCCTGCCGATGCAGACCCTGGGAGGCAGCAGGGGACGGCTCAGGTCCTGGGGTCCCTGCCACCCAAGGGAGACCTGGCTTGGGTTCCGGGTTTCTGGCTTTGGCCTGGTGCAGCCCTTGCTATTGTGGGTATTTAGGGAGTGGGCCAGAGGATAGAAGATCTGCCTCTCCCTCTGTCTGTCTCTCTGCCTTTCAGGTAAAGTGAAAATAAATAAAATTTAGAAAACCCAACAGCATAGAGTTCTCTACCGTTTTGGTATCTTTCTCATAAAAAGATCTTTGCCATTCTGTACTTGCACAGTGGACTATCAGCGTCATCATCACCATCATTATTGGAGGAGAGAGAGAGAGAGCAAGCAGGAGTGAGAGCGAGAGCGAGAGCGAGCAGGCACTCACGTCTGCTGGTTCATTCCCCAAACACCCTCAACACCTGGGGCTGGGCAGGGGCTGAAGCCAGGATTGAAGCACTCAACGCAGGTCTCCCACATGGGTGGCAGGAACCCAATTAGTAGAGCGGTCATGGCTGCCAGGGTCCCAGGGTCCATGTTAGCAGGGAGCGGAAGGCAGGCACTGCCATGTGGGACACGTGGTATCCTGACCGCTAGACCAGAGGCTCACCGGGCATGGTCAACTTTCTCACCTATCTCAGTTGCTACACGTTACCCGCCACTTACTCCATTTCATTAAACTCTGTTAGTTTGGCTTCACCCATCACAGTCAAGGTCGAGTGTTCTGTCCCAGAATGTTGTCGAGGGAAATTGGATCAGTTCATCTCTTTGTACCAATTTACGATTTCACTTGGTTCTCAGAAAACAGCCTTACAGATCATGGTAGGTACTCCTGGGGGTCAGGCCTCAGCTCCTGAGGGTCCTGGCTTCTGCTCTCTCCAGGGTGGAGGCTGCCAGTCACACCAGCCCTGGCTCTCAGGGCCCAGTGGTGAGCTGCGCCTGCACCCTTAGCAGTGTCCAGGTAGCTCTGTGACCGAGTTTTCTCATAAAAATAGAGCATTGGAAGAATGCTGATCCCGTTAAGCAAGTTAGCGTCTGGCCCATCGATCTGCCGGGCGAATTACAGGAAAGGTGGATGAAGATGTCAAGTCGGAACATTGATCTCTGCTTTTACAGAACTCGGACGTGATAGATTGTGATCAGCAAGGAATAAGTGGGCTCCCCATGTCGTCCTACGCGGAGGCAGTGTCCACATTGCACATGTGGACGGCCACCAGCTGGGACTTTACAGTCACACACCCAGATTGTCAGCCCCCGGACGGAAACCCTTGTCAAACGTCGCACAAATTCCTCTTCAGCCTTCTGCTGTCTGCTGAGAAGGCCTTGTGTTCTCTCTCCTCTCTGATGAGGGAACAGGCCAGACAACTCATCTGTTTTCTTACTGAGTGTGTTCCAAGTTTTCCAGAATCTCAAGTTGTCAGCTTAGGGTTGCGCTCTTCTAATTAGCTGTAACCAGCAAGAAACATGAAGATTTTATTGGCTTTTTATTATTTGAAATATCATAATAAATATAAGATTAAAAATAAATCAAGGAAATGGGACTTTAGAACATGTTCTTTGGAATGCATGCCTTCCCTGCCATTTTAATTGCCCGTTACTGTCTTAGAGTTGTGCATTGTTGTAAAAATTGGACCACCAATGACTTCGCTGTTCCCACCTGCTAAATGTGATACGTGCTGTCTCCCCAAGCCCCACCGCAGAGGTGCACAAAAGTCTCTTTCACTGACATCTGCATCCATCTACTTCATCTAACTGGGACTCGTGTCCATGTGGTGATGGGAATAATTTAAGTATTTCCTGCCTTCCTTCCCCCGATAATGCATGCAAGATGAAGGCCTGCCCTGCAGGGCAGTAGGGCACCAGACTGCTGCTTTCCAGCTCTGGCTGTGTCTGTCGAAGGCTGCCCCCGTGTGCTGTGTGTCATTTCAGCAAGGCTGGATGTATTTGCGGTATGGATGCTTCCCCCACAACGTCTGTGTTTCTAGGTACGCGATGAAGTGCTTGGACAAGAAGAGGATCAAGATGAAACAAGGGGAAACGCTGGCCCTGAACGAGAGGATCATGCTGTCTCTTGTCAGTACGGGAGTGAGTACTCCGGTCCCCGTGTGGCTTCGGGAAGTGTGCTTGTTTGCTAGGACAGTTTTTGTTTTTCCCTGGCCGGTCCTAGGTGGCTAAAAGGCCGGTCGTGTGTCCTGTTGGAGTCAGACGTGTGTCAGCACCTTCCCCGTGCTCACACTTGGCTCCCCCTTGGTGCCGGTTCGTCCCCGAACTTTCTTTGCAGAAGGCAGTAGCAGAGACGGTAGAGAAGGACCTTAGCAGGCGGCGTGACGGCCTGACCCAGAGAAGGAAGCGTACAGAGAAGTCGCTCTGAGCGGAGAGGGGAAGCAGCCTGGGCCCACGAACTCCGCGGTGTCCTCTTGGCATGGCCTAGCTCAGGGGCATTGGCTTCCTCACCACTCTTGCCACCCTCCTGTGCTGTGGACTCAGCCATTTCCGTTTCTACCTGTCTGTCAGCTTTCTGTTCAGGTGGCAAGGGACCACCTTCCCCTTTTGAATACAATGGCATTCACCCAGGGTGGAACCCTGGCTTTTTGTGTGCGTTTCCAGACAGCTCTGTCACTGAGGACAGAAATGCTTCCGGGCCCAGCACCTCGGGGCATGTGTGTGTGTGTGTGCCTGGCGTGTGCACATTCGGTTGCTGGGGTGTGGGGACCCAGAAGGAAAGGTGTGGGGTGAGTGTGGGCTGGCAGGACCCTTGGTGTGCCTTTGACATTCGACACCCAAGCCAGGAAGGTTTCTATGCAGTGAGACATGTGAGGGCCTCCTAAGTATCATAGCTAGATTTTTTTGTAAGCTCATCTTCAGCGTAAGAGTTTGACAGAATCCTATTTTATTTCTTTATTTTTAAAGATTTGTTTATTTACTTGAAAGAGTTACAGAGAGAGAGAGAGAGAGAGAGAGAGAGAGAGAGGTCTTCCATCTGCTGGTTCACTCCCCAACTGGCTGCAACTGCTGGAGCTGAGCCAATAGGAAGCCAGGAGCCAGGATCTTGTTCTGGGTCTCCCATGCTGGTGCAGGGGCCCAAGGACTTAGACCATCTTCCAGCCGTGGCAGAGAGCTGGATTGGAAGTGGAGCAGTTGGGTCTTGAACCGGCGCCCATATGGGATGCAGGCACTGCAGGTGGAGGCTTAACCTGCTCTACCGCAGTGCTGGCCAAGAATCCTATTTGAGTGGCTGATCAAAGAACCCCTTTCAACCGGTGAGCAAGGGAGGGCCTGAGACCCAGAGGAGCTCATTTCCTGCCTGCACCTCCCAGGGAGCTCCCTGGCCGGTCCCTCTTATCACTTTATGGGTCACGTATTTTGTTTTAAATCAGATGTACCCATTGCATTGTGGTGTACTGTGTTCCAATGTCAGTTATAAGTGCTTCTAGAAGGGCCCTTGGCTATTGGAGTGGAAAGATGGCATCACTTAGCAGAATTGCAACAAATGAACACTCCATAGCTTGAAATAATGACTAATGATGCACCTCTACCTTCCAAATCACGGATCATAAGCGTTTCCAGTCAGAGTCCTCCTGGGTGTGCCAGCCAGTTTGTGGCCAACTGGCTGGGAAGCGGAGCGGCCCACACCCCAGGGTGGAATCCACGCGCTGACGGTGATCTCTGCTTTTCCCTGCGCGCACCTGCCTCTCCTGTTCCAGGCCTCAGCCCACTCACTGCAGACCTGAAGGTGCCTGCTAAGATGCTGGCTCTCAGTGAGTGACCGTCAAGCTCTGTGTGAATGCTCTTTCCTTAGAAAGCCTGTGGAACATGCAGGTTTCGTGGTTGGAAGATGAAGCCTTCCGGTAGCATTTCTTATCTAGATCTTATCCAGGTGAGGGGGAGAGCATTAAACACCTGTGTCTTTCCTCCCAGGTTCAACATGCAGGGGTTAGGTGGGGCTACTACTTTGTACTAATTTGAAAGAATCAGTTTATGTTTTTCATTCAAATACCAAAACTGTATGGTTTTTTTTTAACTGTGTGATTTAACCGAAAGAGCAAACTTATTTGGAAACGTTTCTGAAAATACCACTTTGTAGAGGTTTTTCGTAGCCCTGAGTGCAAAACCCTGCTCAGGTGAAACTTTGGCTTGGCAGCTGTCAACAGGATCTCCCTCGGAGCTGATGTGATGCCCACGGGCAGTCACGCACCTGGTTTTGTTTTTACCCCAAGGGTTTTTCCCCAGTCTCAGATTGAGTGTTGTATTCCGCGTCCACCTGCCAACATCGGTTTCCTTCTGCACTCTTGGCTGGTGGAAAGGGCATTTGCTTACTTGAGAACCGGGGTCAGTCTGTGCCCACCTGGAAGGGCCATCGGCAAGTTCACGGAGCCGCCCAGGTGAGGTTCAGCAGAAGGGTCACTCGTCCCATGGCTGTGCCTGGATGGTGCCAGGCCCTCTGCTTCGTACCAAGGGTCCCTGGCACCCAACTTTGGCTCCTGCCTTTCGTAGAGCTGCCCGGCCTGGGGAAACATGATGTTTTCATAGAATCTCAGAAATATATAAATAATCGGGACGGTTGGCAGGTGCTGCGGCAGAAAGCCGTCCAGGGCTCGGAAGGCGTTTAACGGGGCAGGGAGCCATCGTCCGTGAGTGCGCCTCAGCAGTCAGGAGTCACCTGGGGAGAAGCCGGTGCGCACCCGGGTCCCAGGCACAGAAGGTTCCAGGGGAAAGGGCAGCCTGCCAAGGGTCTGAAGCGAGGGGGAAGAGTATCTAAGAGAAGCTGGAGAGAGAGACGCAGAGGCCAGACCAGACCATGAAGAGCCTGCTAGGCTAGTGGTGAGGGGAGACTTACCAGCAGCTGGGAGCAAAGCGTTCTCAGTGGGAAGAGGATGTGATTGGACGATTGCTCTGAGTGCGCCGTGGGAATCCCCGAGAGAAGGTGCCCTGTGGCCCCGTGGAATCAGCCCTGCACATGGGGTTCCTGCAGAGTGCGTGCCGCTGTGCCCACTCCTGCGAGGGACAAGGAACCGAACCACTGCTGTCTTTGGAATCGGATCACACCACTCAGGGCGGTGCTGCCGCTTCCTCACGCTGGCCAGCGTCGGGCTCTCTGTGCCCTGGATCCGTGACAACTGCAGAGACTGCTCTGCCCACCCCCCCCCCCCCCGAGAGGGGAGGCGCTGCCGTCAGTGAGCTCCGTAGGGCAACCAAATCTCACGCCTTTAACCGCACTTGAAACACGGTCCATCGGACATTTGGCTAAGGCGGTGAAAACAGATTTTGTTCAGTAACTGCTGGCAGCTGAGCCCATCCTGACTCATGCAGAGGTGCCTGGGAGTTTTAAAGGGAGACTGGGGGATGCAGGGGGAGCTTAGGGCCTGAGCAGAGCGAGGGAGGTGGAAAATTACAAAGGAGCAGGCAGAGGGGCTTGGCCAAGTGAGCCCCATCTGGTCTCCTCCCAGCCCTCCCAGGTCGGAGACAGGAGCTCTGTCCTCAGGTGCTTGGCTGAAATCAATAGTAAATTCTTTTGACAGCCTTGAGATTTCTCACACAGGCATTCATCCTAGGGATGAAGGATTTTTTTTTTTTTTTTTTTCCAGTTTATTTATTTGAAAGGCAGAGTAAGGAGGAAAGACAGAGAGCAAGAGAGATCTTCCACCTGCTGGTTCACTTCTCAAATGGCCTCAATAGGTGAGGCTGGGCCAGGCTGAAGCCAGGAGCCAGGAACTCCATCCAGGTCTCCTGCGTGGGTACAGGGGCCCAAGCATTCAGGCCATCTTCCACTGCTTTCCCAGGCTCCTTAGTAGGGAGCTGGAATGGAAGTGCAGCAGCCTGGACTTGAACTTGTGTTCCTAGGGGATGCCTTCATGGCAGGTGCTGGCCCCAGGAATGGAGTAATGAGGAACCTATATCAGTGTCTTTATGATGGGTCAAGGTCGAGGCCCCATAGAAAAGAGGGCTTGGAGGATCTTGCTAGTTAGGCAGAGTCTCAATGGCTAGAGAAACCTTGCCTATAATTTGCATAAAAAAGGAGAACTTGGTGTCAGGAGACATGGGGTTTCTCTGTGACCTCAGGCAGGTCATTTCCCTCTTCAGGGCCTAAGTTTGCTTATGTTTCAAAGACATCAGAACAGGTGGTGGTACTTTTTAAGAACACTTCCTACTCAAATACCCTCTGATTCAAAATCTAAAATGCAATCTTGTGGCTTACTCGAATCCTGCTTTAAGGGACCTTCAGCCTGTGGCTGTTTCCGCAGGGCTGTCCTTAGAAGGAGCACAGTCACATTCAGAAAGTCTCCTGTGAGGGCCCACTCGTTCCCCCACGACGCTGTGGGTACAGGCACCGGCCCAAGCTGGGAAAGCCCCTGGCTGCACGGAGTTGTGGGCCCGCCCACTTCTCTGCTCAGCAGATGAGTTGCTCCTGGGGCGAGGAATGAGAGTGTGGGAAGGGGTGTGGCAGCCGACAGCCCTCATTGAAATGAGGGCTTCGAGGTGGGGGTGGGGTGGGGTGGGGGGAGCCCCTGGACCACAGGAAGGCACTAGCGCTTTGTTTGAGAATCACAGAGGGAGGGAGAGACAGAGAGGTCTTCCATCCACTGGTTCACTCCCCAAATAGACGCAACAGACAGAACTGAGCCGATCCGAAGCCAGGAGCTTCCTCCTGGTCTCCCCTGCCAGTGCAGGTGCTTAAGCAGCTCATCAGGCCATTAGCAGTAAGCTGGGTCGGAAGAGAAGCAGCCAGGACATGGACTGGTGCCCATAGGGGATGCCGGTGCCGCAGGCAGAAGCTTAGCTCCCTGCACCACAGTGCCGGGGCCCCTGACACGGGAGCTTTTCACAGAAGGAGGATTTTTTTTTAATGACAGGCAGAGTTAGACAGTGAGAGAGAAAGGTCTTCCTTCCATTGGTTCACCCCCAAAATGGCTACTGCAGCCGGTGCTCTGCGCCGATCTGAAGCCAAAAGCCAGGTGCTTCCTCCTGGTCTCCCATGCAGGTGCAGGGGCCCAAGCACCTGGGCCATAGGAGGGTGTTTTTTAAACAGTCCTTGTCTTGACTGTTAAGGAACAGGTTTTTTTTTTTTTTTTTTTTTAATACTATTTGTTGAACTCTTTACTTAGTATAGAGTTAATCATATGTGCATAAAGTTAGTTAAAAATAGATCTTAGTAACAAATAAGAATGGGAATAGGAGGAGGGGGGAAGAGGGGTGGGAGTGTGGGTGGGAGAGCAGGTATTGTGGGAAGAATCACTGTGTTCCTGAAGTCGTATTTACGGAATGCAGGGAGCTTGATTCTTTAAATAAAAGGTTTCTGGGCGGTGGGGAGGGGGGCGGAATGAGGAGGAGGATAGTGCTGATATTCTGTCATTGGAGGGCAGAGTCAGCCTTGAAGTCAGTAACACTCCGTCTCAACAGGACTCTAGAGGGAACCAGGTGGCCACGAAACAAACTTCGTAATTCATTCTGGAGCGATTTTCTCTGGAAGTTTCATGGAAACTGAGTTCAAGTCCATGACTCTTTACAAATGGGAATGTGTAAACTCGAAATTATCCCTGTGCCCTTACTACAGAGGTTTCAACCATGCAGTTTGGTTAGAGTGTTGGTGTTTGAACGTTTTCTCTTGGAGCTCCGTCCTCTGCTGTGTCTGATTTGTCACAAACACGTGCTGTGTGTGAAGAAGCTAAGTCGCTCTGGTGGGATAGACCTGGTGGAGCACGGAGGAGCTTTCGTGAGGAAGCAGGTCAGGACTAGAAGCCATCCGCGAGCCCCTTCGCGTCTCTAACTCCATGCCCGTGCCATGCTGCCCAGGTTTCTAACCCTGCAGTTTAGCTCTGCTGATTGCATGTGAACTCCACATGAGTGTCCTCTCATGTGTCCGGCTTCCTGCCCAGTGTTGCATGCAAGACGCGTGTGTGGCAGCCACTTATTCTAGTGGCTGGAGAGCAGGGATCCGCCAGCTCCATGTGGTCTGGGGCCCAAACCAAGCTCATGGCTTTATTTTGTGCAGTCCCTGGGCCGAGAATGGCTTTTATGTTTTTAAACAATGATAAAGAAAATAAATAAAGAAAAATTGCTGTGAGAGATGTATGGGGCCAACAAGCCCTAAAATATTTACTGTTCATTCTTTGTGTCATTCATTCATTCATTAATTTGAAAGGCAGAAGACAGAGATGGAGAGATCGTCCGTAGGCTGCTTCACTCCCCACAAATGCCCACAACAGTTCTGGGCAGACCAGGCTGATGGCAGGATCTGAGAACTCATGCTGGGCCTCGTACCTGGGAGGTGGGGACCCAACAGGAGCCATCACTTGCTGCTTCCCACGGTCTGCACCAGCAGGAAGCAGAGCTGGGACTTGAACCCGGGGCCTCTGATACGGGATGCAGGCATCCCCTAACTGCTATGCCGGGGGCCTCCCCCATGGTGTGCTGTCGATAGCCACTTGGGCTATTGTCTAGCTTGGGCCATTTTGAATGGTGCGGCTGTGACCGTTCCCTGCAGGTCTCCTGGGGCACATAAACACAGGTCGCTGTTGGGTGTGTACCTGGGGGCACAAACCTGGGTCACAGAGTTTGCAGGGGGTGCTTAGCCCCGGCACGTACAACACATTGGCCATGCTCCTGGCAGCCCTGTGTAAACGTCCACTCGCCCCCGTGCCTGGTGCTGACAGTCTTTTCAGCTTTGGCCTTCTAGTGGATTTCATTGTTAGCGTGTTGTGCTGTTAATTTGCATTTCCTTTTGGACACCTGAGACTGAACATTGGTCATAGCTCTGTTGGGCCCTTCGCACCCTCTTCTGGTGAAAAGCCTCTTTAAATTTATCTGTGTGTGCTGATTTTCTATGGGGTTATTTGCCTTTTTCTTCACTGAGTTATAAGAGTTCTTAAATATGTTCTGGACACGAGTCCTTTGTTGTGTGTGTGTGTGTGTGTGTGTGGATTGTCAGTATCTTCTTACTGTGCCTATCTGTTTGCATATTGGTGTCTTCTGATGAGCATTTTATTAGTCCAGTTTATCAGTATTTCCATCATTTCCGTTATTAGTGCCATCGGTGGCTTGTTTACAAATCTCTACCCTGAGATCATGAAGATCCTCTTTCGTTTGCTTCTAGAATCTTTTTTTTTTTTTTTTTTTTTTTTTTGGACAGGAGAGTGGACAGTGAGAGAGACAGAGACAGAGAGAAAGGTCTTCCCTTGCCGTTGGTTCACTCTCCAATGGCCGCTACGGCCGACGCATCGCACTGATCTGAAGCCAGGAGCCAGGTGCTTCTCCTGGTCTTCCATGGGGTGCAGGGCCCAAGCACTTGGGCCATCCTCCACTGCACTCCCTGGCCACAGCAGAGAGCTGGCCTGGAAAAGGGGCAACCAGGACAGGACCGGCGCCTCGACCGGGACTAGAACCCCGTGTGCCAGCACCGCAGGCGGAGGATTAGCCTAGTGAGCCGCGGCGCTGGCCTGCTTCTAGAATCTTTACTGTCATATCTCCCCGCCAACCGATGTAGGTCTGAGTATGAATGTAGTGTACGGTGTGAGGCAGGAGTCGAGTCTTATACTTTATTGAAACAGAAATCAGGCAAAAGTCCTTCCTTTGCCCCTGCCCTAGCGTGTTACCTTGATTGCAAATGAAGTGACCAAGTATGTATGTGTCTGTTTCAGAATTCTCTGTTGTGTTTCATTGGCCTGTTAGTTCTCGGGCTAAAACCACTGAATTACTCTTGCTTCGTAATGAGTCATGGTATCTCCAGCTTGTTTGTCTCCAGGACTGTCTGAACTTTCCTTGTCAGTTTGCCTTTCCATGAATTTTAGAATCGGCTCAACAGTGTTCATTTTAATTAAGATTACATGGGATCTATAGATTAATTAGAGGAAGATGGAAACTTTTATAATTGAGTTATGGAGTCCCTGACCACGGTTTCTTTTTCCCACTTTCAAGAGCTAATCTAATTCTCAGTGTTTCACAAACAGTAGTACAGATAGCATTCCTCCTCTGTGGTCTGTCTCTCCCAGCCGCACAGCAGAAGCCGACACGGCTGTTCAGCGAGCCAGAAGCAAACTTGACTGCCAAAAAGACTAGCCGGGCAGGAAGCCTCTTCTGCAGAGTGTAGTGTTTAGAAGAGGGTGTCATTAGAAAAGAGTCGTGATTGAACCCTGTGGAGAGTGGGTTCATTCAACAGGTTCATCTACTCCAGTTCTTAATATTGCCTTTTAAAGAGTTTTGTTTATCTGAGAGGGGGAGGGGGAGACATCCTACCCACCGATTCACTCCCCAAACGCCCAAAACAGTTGGGGCTGGGCTAGGCAGAATCTATGAGCTCAGAACTCAATTCAGGTCTCCCATGTGGGTGGTAGGGACCCAAATCCTTGTGCCATCATCACCTGCTACCTCCCAAGGTCTACATTAGCAGGAAGGTGGAATCGGGAGTGGAGCTGGATCTGAAACCCCATGTGGGCTTTAGGTATCCCAAGCTGCTAGGGCAAACTCCTACTCCAGTATTGTGTCTGCGTGTGTTTTATCCTGTACCCAGGGCTGCTTTGCCTGGACTTGTGCAGTTAACCACGCAGGTGTCTGTTCAGTGCAAGGGACGGTTGCAGCGACGAAATGAGTAGCGCGGAGCCTGCTGGTCAGTGGACTCTACTGGACAGCCACCGCTCGTCTCATGAACTTTTGTCTTTCCGCTCTAGGACTGTCCTTTCATTGTGTGTATGACCTATGCCTTCCACACTCCAGATAAACTCTGCTTCATCCTGGACCTGATGAACGGTGAGCAACACCCGGGGAGACTGAATCCATGAAGGCCTTGGCCTTGATGCTGCCTCTGGCATTGTTCCCTGGGCAGACGCAGCTGGAGTCTTCCCAATAATTAGGTCCCCCGAAGCTGGAGGAAACCTTTTACTGTTCAATTTTCAATAGGAATTCGTTTAAAAATGTTGACTGTGACTTCTCTCTGGACCTCCAGGTCCTCCCAACACCCAGCCAGCCCCCTCCCCCATTCCCCCGGAAGTTGGATTTTGTAGGAAAGATTCTCATAAAATACTGAGAGTGAAACTTGATTTTCTGGAATGCAGCTGGCCTTGGTCTTTAATTAGCTTATTTCCTGGCCTTCCACTGTAGGAATGAAATACCCCCCGAGGATATAGGCCAAAGATAGAAATGCATTTAAAGACCAGCTCTGAAGGACCGGCGCTGGGCTCATAGCGATTCCAGCCCCGGTCTCCTGCGCCCTCTAAACCTGCAGCCCCTGCTCTGGTTTCCCAGACTGGACAGTGGTCCTGAGGGTGCTGAAACCCAGTCAGCTGGAGAAGTCGCTTTCCTACACCAGAGGGCGTTACGGCTATAAAATCGCAAATATTTTAGTAACAAGAGCCAAAGGAAAAAGACATACAGTCCTACCACCCAAATGCCTGTGTGTGTTTTTGTTTTCTTTCTGTGCCCTTGAAGTTTGATTCTGTGATTTTAAACCAAACCTATGCAGAAACTATAAAAAGGGCGTCACAGGCATGGTCATGAGCCACAGAAAGCGGACACAGCGGCCATTTGTGTGAGTGTCGGAGCAGGCACAGCGGCCGTGGGGAGACAGGAGCCTGGGCCGTGTTTACGTTTCCTCCAGGGCACTGAAAGCGTCCAAGGACAGAAATCAAAGGTGGGCGGAAGGGCAGTGCACAGCACTGTTCTCCCGCACACGACCACCGAGGAGGATGATGGATGGACGGCGGTCTCTGCTCACTGACTCACGCCCACTCCCCCACCTCTGATTGCAGGGGGCGACCTGCACTACCACCTCTCCCAGCACGGGGTGTTCTCCGAGAAGGAGATGCGGTTCTACGCCACCGAGATCATCCTGGGGCTGGAACACATGCACAACCGCTTTGTTGTCTACAGGGATCTGAAGGTGAGGACAGCTGGTGCAGCCATGCCGAGGGCCCCTCCACAGCCCCTGTCACGTGCCCCAAGGCCATCGTCCCACCCCATGAAGTCCTTATCTGTGTGACGTCAAACTGTGCAACAACAGACCCCACTTTGAAAACTGCAGTCAATTAAAGGACAACAGAAGAGCGGGAGAGGCTTTGTTCTGTTGCTGCCCATTTTAGGAGAGATTGTAATTCGGTTAATGTTCACTAAGCATCCAATTTGGCCCTGGCCATGTGAGAGCTGGACATAGGCAGAGATGGGCGAGCTGGTGTGGGTGGCCTGGCATGCCCATGTCCCACACCCGAGTGCCCAGGTTCAATGCCCAGCTCCTGATTCTAGCTTCCGCAGGTGGACCCTGAATGCAGCAGGGGATGGCTCAAGGGGTTGGTTCCCAGTCACCCATGTGGGAGCCCTGGGTTGTGTTTCCAGTTCCCGGTGATGGCCTGGCCCAGTCTTTGGTGTTACAGGCATCTGGGGAGTGAAGCAGTAAGTGGGCGTGCTAGTGCACGCTCTCTCTTTCCACCTGTCTCTGTCTTTCTATCTCTCAAATAAATATGTAAATAATTCAAAAGAAAAGGCGAACAAGCCAAGAATAGATATTTTACGGGACTTAAAAGCTGGTGAGCCCAGCCCACGCGATCTGAAGGCCGGGCTAGAGCACAGCACACAGTTGTGCAGCTGTGTTGGGCAGTGAGAGAAGAATTGAGAGGCGTGACAGTCACCAAACACAAGGAGGTCCCAGGAGAATCTGTCTGCCTGTTATCTCTAGATGCTTCTTGAATGAGCCCCCAGTGGCCAGTTGAAACGCATGGGTTATATGCTTTCCTCTAAAGATCTAAGATGACTTTAAAAAAAGATTCATTCATTTATTTAAAAGGCCGAGTGACAGAGAGAGAGAGAGAGCGAGCAAGCAAGTTTCCACCTGCTGGTCATTCTGCAAATGACCGTAACAGCTGGGGCTGAGCCAGGCCAAAGCTAGGAGCCTGGCCCACATGGGTGACAGGGGCCCAAGTACTTGAACCATCATCCACTGCCTTCCCGGGGGCGTCAGAAGGGAGCTGGATTGGAAGTGGAGCCTCTGGGACTGGAAGCAGCACTCTGACAAGGGGATACTGGGGTTGCAAGCAGTGGCTTAACCTGCTGCTCCACAATGCCAGCCCCTAAGATGCTTTTTAACATTTCCTTTTAAGAATCTAAAATATTTTATTTTATTTCTGAACATTTTATTTTTTTCCAAAAATGCTTTGTGAATTTTAAAACTTTCTGCAAATTTAAAGAAGGTAAAGAAGGGGGAAAAACCGTACCTTTATTGAATTACAGAAAACCAGACGTGGGTTCGCTCACAATGTTACATTCCCCTAGGTAAGTTTTGCAGAATGATAAAATACACACTGCAGGCCCACAAAGTGCCTTTGTCATACGTTGCAATTTAAATCTGTAACCGGTAGCTAATCATCTTTATGCTGTGTTTCGGTTTGCTAAGCTATTTAGTTGGCAAATGGCATTATTTAATTTGCATTCAAATGTAATTCTGGTCACTCACGATTATTCATGTTTCAATTTTATAAGAGCACACCATTTTTATTTCAAGCAAAACAATACTTGATCTCCAGCAGAAAAATATTACTAAGACGACTGTAATACGATGTATATTATGGAGAAGAGCTTTGTTTTCCATGATCATGCAGATGAACCTAATCTTCATGGATATGTTGTATCAGTATTGTGGTCAGAATCCTCTCTGGTCCTTTGCTGGGTCCCCGTGTTGACTACGCACTGATGAACAGAAATGCCGCTTATCAGGATTAGGGTGGCACGGGGGTGTGTTTTGATGTCTTAGTATGCATTCAGTTCTGTCCAGATCCTTTCTGTTCTGGGCCTGGTGGGCTCATTCTCAGAAGCCCTTATGATCCCCGTAAGCCTCAGAGCTGGTGGGCTCACTGCTCACCGTCGGGAGACACCCTTTCCTGGCTGCATGTTGGGTCTGGGTGGGTACAGTGAGAAGGAGGTGCTGTTGACCCTGGCGGCTGTGACCGTGACCATGACCGCCCCTGGAGCTCATTTAAGTAGCGGGAGCTTCCGTGCCCATCTGGGCCCTTTCCTGCTGAAGTTAATCTGAGCAATGTTCGTCTCCGTATGGTGCCTGCTGGGGTGTGATCCTAGCAAGCCGGGCTTCATGTTGAGGAACAAGCCGTGATCCAGTAAGAGCACCTCCAGTGTCTGTCCGCTGAGACATTCCCAGAGCCTCTGAAAGTCACTTCCTCTCTCCGTGTAGCCCGCAAATATCCTCCTGGACGAGCACGGACACGTGAGGATCTCAGACCTCGGGCTCGCCTGCGATTTCTCCAGGAAGAAGCCACACGCGAGCGTGTAAGTAGCCGCGGCTCTGCTCACCGCCACTTCCCACGCACCGCTGGCCAGCGAGGACCCTGAGTATGTGAGGACGCCAGTCCAGGGGAGACCCCGGGTGTCACAGGCTGTGGGAGGGAGGCGACAGCCGTGTGCTTTCAAGTTCTAACTGCGGGGAGTGGTTGAGCCTGCTCAGGGGCCAGTGGGGTGACCCGAGTTCCTGCTGCCCGGTTGCCCTGCATGTGTTGTTAACCCATGCAGCCCTTGGTCCCTTTGTCCATGAAGTCAGCCCAGGAAAACAGAGGCAGCTACATGGCAGGGAAGGCACGGAACCACATAGAGAGCCGAGTTTCAGCTACTCCTCCCCCTTTCCCGAAGGTAGTTTTACAGAAATAATACAAGGAATTGGGAAGATTTTTTTAACAGAGAAAAATCACCCTCTCCCACTTGGAGCTCTTGACGCGAGTCTTCTCATTTGATGCACTGGGACGACGAACCCGCCCAGTCCTCCGAGCTCTGTGGAGGCAGCCACAGTGGCCACAGCTCTCGGGGACTTGGAAGTGCTTCTTTCTGGCAGTGGCTGTGCCTGGTCAGCCCGTGGTGGCCCGGCCCGAGGACTTCTCTGTGCCCAGGGTGGTTGACACGACAGCAGACACACACAGGGTGCCGCCCCCAGCCTGCCGAGGAAGCAGAGCAGAAGGCAAAGAGGTGTGTGTCTTCCCCTCGGCGTCAGGTCACCCGCGTGGGAAGTGTGGCCACGTGTGCTTTTCCATCTCGGGCTTAGCCCCAGGTGTCTGACAATGGTGTCGTCTCGCCATCCTGAAGTTAGGTTCATCTCTGCACCGGGTGCTCTGGAAGAGCTCTGGGCGCCCCATTTCATGCACCTGTGGGGGAAATCAGCTGCAGGGCAGGTACCGACCACCCTTTGTGCGGCTGCGAAGCAAAGTGGCTGGGAACTGCAACACTCCGGAGTGACCGCGTGGAGTCAGGACCGCCTCTTAAAGCTGTGATGGAGCGGCGCGCTTTCTGTAGACACACTCCTCTTGCTCTGCACAACCTGGGATGTGCTGATAAAAGCATTAGCATTTTTCTAGCACTTCATAATTATTAGGCCAGAACCTGTGGTTGTATAAGCTTCTCCCAGGGAGTTCATCAGACGGTTTTTAAGAGAGTCATTTGAATTTTTAATACCATGGCTATTTGGTATGCTAATTTCTTCAATTTAGGAGAGTCATCACTACATACGAATCCACGAGTTCATAAGAGTTAATCTTCCAAAGGAATTAACTTTCAGTCACGGGGTTATTTATTTCCTTAGAGGGCCTAGCCCATATTTTTTCTTTTTTTAACTGTAATTCACATTGGCTTCGAAGCACAGGCTGTTCTTTTGCCGGCTCTGCTCTGCGAAGTGCAGCCTTTGAGTAGCACCTGCAGGGAGGTGCCCTGGGGTGGCTGGTTCCCGGGAGGCCTCCCTTAGGGGAGATAAGTACACACCGGGACACGGGTGTTGGGTGGAGGAGGTGCTTTGTGCTAAGAACAAAGGCTACAGGACTGCATTTGAATCCCCCTCCTGAGATACGGAAGCCCCAGTTTTCCTCTTCTTCCTTTTAAAGATTTATTTATTTGAAAGGCAGAATGACAGGGAGAGAGAGAGGTCTTCATCTACTTGGTCCACTTCCCAAATGGCCGGAACAGCCAAAGCTGAGCCAGGCCAGAACCAGGAGCCTGGGACCCCGTCTTTATCTCCCATGTGGGTGCCAGGGCTTGGACCATCTTCGCCTGCCTTCCCAGGTGCATTAGCAGGGAGCGGGGTCAGAAGCAGAGCAGCCGGGACTCAACCTGGCACTTGGATGTGGGACGCAGGCATTGAAGGCAGCAGCTCGACCTGCTGCGCTGTGTCGTCAGCCCCTCAACTTCTCTCTAACAGTGATATTTATTTCCCGCGTGTGTTCACTGGCGGGGGTTAAATCAGCTCACGACCCCCAACATGTATTCACTGCACTTGCGCTGTATGCCGGGTGCTGGCGTTGCTGCTGTAACAGAGCTGGTGCCTGGCATCCTGAATATGCAGCCCAGGCGCAGGGGCCCAGGCCAGTAAGTGGCCGGTGTGGGCCACCCATCCCAGCAGCCGTGGCTGGGTTGTTTGCTGAGTAGCAGCAGTCCCAGGCTTGCTGCACTGGCTGCTTCGATCGCGTGGTCTTCACAGGGACCCCGTAAGCTAAAGCTGCCATTGTCCCCTTCTTACAGTACAGAAGTTGAGTTTCAGAGAAATTAGGGGACTGGAACAAGGCTGCATGGCTGGCCCGCCGTGGAGCTGGGGTGCTATCACCCAGTTCTGCCTGACTGCAGAGCCCTTGCTTGCTCTCTATGCTGTGCAGGTCTGTGAGGCTCTGCTGGGGCCTGCCCAGCACTTTCACCCTGAACTTGGCTTCCTCAGCTTTTTGAAGCAGTCCCTGTGCTCCTTGGAATCTGCCTGTCTGCAACTCCGAGTCCGTTGATGGAATCAAATGAGATGCTCCCTGTGGAGTAGCCAGGAAAAAAAAAAAAAAAAAAGGAAACCTCTGGGCTCTGGGGAGTGAACAGATTGTCAGTGGCTAATCCGAGTCCTGGCTCAATTTCTCTAAGAACACAAAGCCGCGTTTCAAGCCGCAGAGTCCTGAGAGGCTCACGTGTCTTCCGTGGAATGTGTCGGGGTAGCACATGTGGCTGCCGTGGAGGCAGAGTCGGAAAACCACAGCGGCAGGGCCCAGCGCTGTGCTCTAGCTGTGTCCGGCGGCAGCCTGGAGGCCCGACCTGCATCAGCGTGTTTCTTTCTCCTTGTGGAAACTCATCCAACCCAGAGCTGTGACTCGGTGCTGAGAAAGACGGGTTGGCAGGTCACCGTGCAGGGCCTTCCCGGAAAAGGCTCGGGATGCTGCTTGTAGAGCCTTCCGGTGCCCTGGGGCCCTCACGCCTTCCACCTGGAGGTTCCTGACATGGAGCTTTCCCGAGTGCGAGGCCGTCCTGACCATGGGATGGCGCTCTTTGGAAACGTCCCTCCTAGGAACACGGTACCAGGCCCACTGGTGACAGGATCGCTACTAACCCCAGTCATTTTTCTGAGCAGAATTAACAGAGCTGCAGGTGGGTTGAGCCGTGCACCGGCAGTCCCCACGGAGCCGTGCACTGGCAGTCCCCACGGCTCCTGAGAGAGGGAGGTGTTACCTTATTATCCGTGTTGTTGATGAAGAAAATCAGTGAAGGGTGACGAGGCTGCAGGGCGCACAGGCAGACAACGGCCGGCGCAGGGACCCTCGCACTTGCATCTTTGCAATCCCCTTCAGAGCTCGGCCGGCTCTTGAGAAAGGAGTGGCGCCCGCCCGGCTCTCCTAGGGGCACAGGGTGGGGGTGGGAGGCTGGAGAGGCCCCGTGGGACCAGGGCTGCAGCGTGGCAGGTGGTGCTGCTTGCATCAGACAGGCAGGTGCTCCCGGGTGATTTTCTCAGCTTCCTGAAAGGCATCTTCATGTTCTCTTAGTGCCGAGTCCCTGGTCCTCGAGCCGCTCTTAACGCTCAACGTGATTTATCTACCTGATGCACGTGGGCTTGAGCGCCCCTGGGACCTGTCACCTGTGAGGTGACACCAGCCAGGCGGTCCTCACTGTCTGCACGGGAGGTGGCAGCGTGCAGGAGTGGGTGCCCCTCCCCCTCCTCCTTTCTGCTGCTGCCCCAGCCCCATGCATCTCCGTGCCAGGGCTCCTGAACAGGCAGGAGCGCCCGTGGTATCCACGGCGGGAGAGGAGACGGCTTTCAGCTCTCAGGCCGTGGACCTCGCCTCCTTCACCCTGAACTCCGGGGGTCATCCCCTCCTGTACACTCGCGGGTGAGGGCGGAGCAGCGCGTCCCCTGCCTGCCCCTCTCCTCTCTCCACAGCTGCTGCTGTCCCTGAGTGGCATCCACACCTCCTGCGCCGGCAGTGTGTCCTCAGGCGGGCCTGCTCCGTAACCACGTGTGACCTTTCTTCTCCCCAGGGGCACCCACGGGTACATGGCTCCCGAGGTGCTGCAGAAGGGGACAGCCTACGACAGCAGCGCCGACTGGTTCTCCCTGGGCTGCATGCTCTTCAAGCTGCTGCGAGGGTGAGTGGGGCGCGGCTCGTGGACTCGAGCCCCTCCGGGAGTGTTTGGAATCTGGGACGTGGTGCTTTCCCCTCCTCCCCCCCTCCCCCTCCTCTTCCCTTGTTCCTTCTTTCATTTGTTCCCGCTCTCTCTCTATATATTTATTTGAGAGGCAGAGAGAGCGGGCTCCCATCTGTGGGTTCACTCCCCGAATGCCTGCGACAACCTAGGGAGGCTTAGGGACCCAAAGTGACAGCTGGGAAGACCACAGCGTGTGTCTCGCAAGGACTTGAGCCAGGCCCTGCTGCCTCACAGGGTATGCGTGAGCAGGAAGCTGAAATCCAGGGCACAGCGAGAACTCGAACCCCGGCACTTCAGTGTGGGATGTGAGCGTCCCAAGAAGCGTAGGAGCAGCTGGAGCTGGTGCTTGGCCGGTGACTTCCTGTCCTGTGCGCCTGAGAGGCGCTTTCCCATAAGCTTACAGAGCAGAGCTTTTCCTTGGTCTGTCTGTCCCGTACCATATAGGAATCACAGTGCTTTGAGGTCCAGACAAAGGCTTGTGTGAAATATTTCCATTGCAAGCCACACTCTGGGAGTAGGGATTGTTTCACCTGTAGGTGATGGGGCAGGCATTCTACAGCAATGAAGATACCGCCTGGGATCCCAGCCTCTCTGCTTCTGATCTGGTGCTCACCTGGGAGGCTCAGATACTTGGGTCCCTGACTCCCACAGGGATTGCGCTCTCATAAGCTCCTGATTCCAGCTTGAGCCAGCTTCAGCTCATGCAGGCATTTGAGAAGTGATCCAGCAGATGGAAGATTCCCTCCCTCCCTCCTTCCCTCCCTCTCTCTCTCTCCCCCCCCACTTCTCTGCCTCTCTCCCCCCTCTCTCTCTGCTTCTCTCTCTGCCTCTCTCTCTCTCTCCCCGCCTCTCTCTCTCTCTCTCTCCCCGCTTCTCTGCCTCTCTGCTTCTCTCTCTCTCGCTCTCAGTGGGAGTCACAGCAGATGCAGGGAGTCCAGTCTTACATGGCCCTAATTCTGTCTGCCTTTCAAATAAAATGAAAATAATTTTTTAAAAAAAACCTCACAAGATAAAATGTGGATAATTGGAACAGGTAGGATTTTTTCCCCCTAGATATTAATTGTTCATGATTTTCTTGTAAACTTAACAGCATTTTGAGAATTACAAAAGTTGAAGACCCTTAGCAAACCAATGTTAAAAGTTTGCATGTATTTGTAAAAAATGCTAGAGTTAATTTGTGTGTGTGTGTTTAAGATTTATCTGTTTATTTGAGAGGTAGAATTACAGAGAGAGGGAGAGACAGAAAAGGTCTTCGCATCTGCTGGTTACTCCCTAAATGGTTACAATAGCTATAGCTGGACCAGGGCAAAGCCAGGAGCTTCTTCTGGGTCTCCCATGTGGGTGCAGGGGCCCAAGCTCTTGAGCCATCTTCCACTGCTTTCCCAGTCCATAAGCAGAGAGCTGGTTCAGAAGAGGAGCAGCTGAGACTCAAACTGGAGCCCATATGGGATGCTGGCACTGCAGGCGGGACTTAGCCTACTACACCGCAGTGCCGGTCCCTGTTAATTTGTTTTTAATTTGTGTTTATTTTCATTTTATTTGGAAGGCAGAGAGACAGACAGATCTTCCATCTGCTGATTCACTCCCCAGAAGCCCACAGTAGCTGGGGCTGGGCCAGGCGGGGGCCAGGCTAAAGCCAGGAGTCTGGAATTCCGTCCCCGTCTCTGCCTTGGGTGCCGGGGAGGCAACTACGGAGCCGTCTTCTGATGTCTCCCGGGATGTGCGTTAGCGGGGAGCTGGGACTCACACCAGAGCCTCCCATGCGGGCTGCGTGCGTCTCCAGAGGCGACGTCACACCGTGGCACGTTCCTGTCCCTGCTTCGTGTTTTCAGACTGATCCTATACTTGACCCCGTCCTGTAAGCTACCTGTGATGAAACAGAGTGGAAAAGACTGTGGGAGGAAGCCACTCCCCAGACACACTTTCATCCTGAACACCACCGCCTACGCGAATGCTTCCATTAAGCTGAAGTTTTAGACAGTTTCCTGGAGAGCTCACGTTTTTAAAATAGCTTTTTTAAAAAATTCTTCACTTACAACAATACCCAAAGCCGTTTATATTAAAATTTCCTGGCCCAAATGTCCCTGTCACAATTGCAGCGGGGAACACACAGCTCTGTGTGGGAGCCCAGCCTTTCGCCTTCCACTGCAAGGCCCCCCCGGGCACCGCTGCATCGTCTGATTACATTAACACGTTCTGCAGAGAGGCTGATTTCCACGTCCTCCCCAGGCCAGGTCCCCAGCACCCTGGCTCTTTCCCCAGGACTCCGCTAATCCAGTTGTTCTCTGCTCACCGTATGCGCTCGGGATCTGAAATTGCATTATTGCTTCGAAAGTCAGGGCCTGTTAGTCCGTAATGGGATTACCGTGTTTGTGGAGCCTGGATGGCCTTAGTCCATGTCTTCAGAGCAGTCTGACCTCATCAGCAGGCTTACGTGAAACAAGCCAGACAAAGCCGCTTCCTGCATGGGAGTCTGCCCCCCGCCCCAGTGCTGTCCCTGTGTGCCCGGGGTCTATGCGGCCCCCATGGTCTTGGCCATGCACCTGTGCCGGAGAAGCCGGTAAAGGAACGGAACCCAGGCCTGCAGCCTAAGGGGGTGACGGAGAATGCCGTGGCCCGACAGCCAGCAGTGAAATGTTACAGGGAGATCTGCAAAGCCTTGCATTTAGGGTCTTGTTTGCTTCTTTGCTAGGACCTTTTATCTATTTGCAAAAATATTCAGCATGCAGCCGTGGAGGGTCTGGCCTGACCCTGCTTCATGTTTTTTATTTTTTTAAAAAGACCGGCGGGAGGGAGGTTCAGTGCTTAACTCTGCACGGTGGAGCAGTGTGATGTGCAGCGGATGCAGTGAGCCCGGTTGTACGTGGCCCTGATTCAGACGCAGCGCACCGAGTGGGAAGCTGTTGAATTCCTCTGCGAAGTCCTGCATGGGGCAGGATCGGGCGAGCTGTTCTGCGAGGCTCCCTTCTCGGGGAGTCGCGGCAGATGGCAGGATGTCCACGAGAGTGGCGTGGGCGGCTGGGCTGGTGCGAGAGCCAGGCACGGAGGCTTCTGCGGAGGGAGTGCCCGAGCGGCGTGGCGCTTGGGGGCCTGAGAGTGGGCTGCAGCCTTGGGAGGACATCTCCCTGACCACATCCATGCTGCGTAGCTCCAGGTGATGGGCGTCTCAGGGCATGGAGTCGCCCAGCAGGGGAGGATTCTGCCTCGGGCATCGGCGCCCTCCCTGTCTGGTGGCCGCACGTTGAGACTGAGCAGAGGGGCTCCTTCCAGCGAGTGACAGCACGAGAAGCAGCTTCCACTCTGGGCTGCGTATCTGACGCCTTCCTTTCTGTGGCTTTGCAGCACTCCTTCGTGGAAAGGATAGAGCACCAAAGCTAAAAAGCAGGAAATCGTTCTCGACTGAAGTGATTGGAATTGAACTTGATAAGCATTCACGGAACACTTGGCCTTGCAGGAGCATGTGCCTGCTGCCATGGGGGGAGGGGAGGGCTGGAGGGAACGGAGGAGGAGGGGGCGAGGGAGGGAGAGGGGTAGGGGACTGTATAGTTCTTAAGGAACCTGCAATCCAGGGGAGTATACAGATGTGTCCACACAGAGCTGGTGGTTGGCTGAGCTGCGTGTGCTGGGGGACACACACGTGGGAGAGGCGACTAACTGGGCAGAGCAGGGCTGGCATCCTGGAGGAGACAGCACAAGAAGCAGGCTTTGGAGGACGGGTAGGAGAATGGTACGGAGACATGGGGCAGGCTGCTGGTGCCCAGTGACCAGTGAGTGGTGGGCGGACTCTCTTGGGACCAGAGAGGGCGCTGGCAAGGAAGGATGGGGAAACCGGGTCCAGACTCAGGCGGACCTTGGACTGAGAGGCACTGGGCTCTGAAGGCTTTCTGGCCAATGGGTGATGCGTCTGGGTGCTTTCTGAGGGACCGAGGCACGGGGTGGGAGTCGGAACCCCCATGAGAGCCCGTGGGCGCTGGAGCTGGGGCAGCGTGCCACTGGCCTGGGAGAAGGGACGTGACCAGCAGCCTCGCGGGGCTGGGGTCCGCACGTGACAGCGAGTCTGCCTTGGTTTGCTCTCTCCCTTAGAGATGCTTGGGCAGGAGGTGAAGATGGGGCAAGTTTAGGGTCCAAGTAATCGGAGGACATTGAGATCGTTACCAAAATCCATAGTTGGAAGACGTTGGGGTTCACATGAAACCAGTGCCTGTTGAGCGCTGTCCGCTGGGTTCAGCCGGCCAAGGGGCTGTGCGCACGAGTCTGTGCTTCTGTCGCTGGAAACGGGCTGTACGTGGGACCCCGCCATGATGCCCACATGTGCCCTGTGTGTTTTTCCTTTTCTCTCTGGAGGGGACCCCCAGCGGCTGTGTTTCCTTGGGCACAAGAGGCCCCAGAAACTGGAACAAAAGGACCAGGAGGTGGGGTGGGCAGAAGTCAGCCTGTGTCCTCCTGTCCCCTGACCATCTTGTGGGGTGGCTGTCACCCAGGCCTCGTCCTCAGCTCCAGGGGGTGCTTGGCGATGCCCGGAACAGTTGTAGTTGTCATAACTTGGACTGCTGCTGACCTCTACTGGGCAGAGGCCCGACGTCCCACAGTACACAGGACAGCCCCACCCACCCGCCCAACAGTCAGCTGCCCCCAGGGTTGACCGTGCTGAGATGTAGAAACCCTGGGGTGCGACAGGTCTCTGGGGCTGAGCCGCTGGTCACCCATGGCCTGTCTTCTCTTTATTTCCTGTGCTTTCAAAGTCCTCGCAGTGACCAAGGCTTCCACCCACCCCACTTCCGCTGGAGTACTTTCCTGCACCCCTTGTTTGTCTCGGCACCCCAGGGTGCCACGAGGCGGCTGGGAGAAGGCTGCTGGGGCAGAGGTGGGGGTCGTGCGTCCCTGGCCTCACAGCACCGGGCCGAGCCATTCAGGCGCCACACTTGTGGGCGCTGGGCCCCGCTTCCGTGTCACAGGACGTGTCCCAGTGTTTCAGAGTGCGCGCGTGTGCAAATCCGTGTGCCTGCTGCTCCTCCATCTGGGCTTAAGGTGTCCGCTGAGGAGGAGAAAGGATGCGGCAGTGGCCTGGGTCTCAAGTTTGTCGCCATTGCTTGGTTGTCCCTGGAGCTGTCACGCGCAGGGAGAGCGCCTGGGGGGTGGCCCGGGGCTCCTGGAGCTCTGCCTGTGTCCTCGAGTTTGCTCCCTGTGGGGGTAAAAACAAGGTTTATAAATATTTTGGCAGCTACTGGCTCAGGTTCAAGACACACACTCCGTGTAACGTGCCATCTTCTTGGTACCCTGACGTTGATTTCTGATGGGAGATTGTCATCTGTCATTACCAATGAGTTGTTTCTGCACTCACTGCTTCCCCGTGGATGTGACGCACCCAGCGTGAGGCGTGCGTGGGCGTTGCCCCCGGCACCTCGTCTCTCTCTCCTGCCACCTCCCAGCTGGCTCGGGGAGAGGGGCACCTGCTGCTCTCCCTGTCTCTCTGGCCTCCCGGAAGCCACGCTCGACCACAGCACGCGCGGATTCTGTTCTCGCAGCACGGCCGCTGCCGACAGGCCGTCCCCGGCTCCTATTTAAAGCGGCTGCGTCAGGGAGCAGCTGTGAGCTCACGGGGCCTGCGAGCGCCGCGTGCCCGCTCATCGTGGAGATTATTACCGCCTCAGGTCTTCTCAGACATGTTCCAAAATAGAAACCAAATCTTTGGCTTTGTTCACAAGGAATAATCGGGACTGCGTTGGAAACAGATGTGCGCCGAGTCTTGCAGCTTGAAAGACCCAGCCTGCTCTCCGGCAGAGGGCAGTGCAGAGCTGCAGAGCCGCCTCCTCGGACCCGGAGCTGCTGTGCTCACAAGCGCCGTTTGCGATGGCATGGCCCAGGCACTCGCTGGCAATGTTTGGCACTGCCGACTCGAATTGCAGACCCCTGTCAGGCCTCCCTGTGGCCTCGTGAAAGGATTTTTAAGTTGAGCACAGGTGTGTGTGAGGGAACAGAGCAGGCCTTCTCTACGCGGCTGGGATACCCATTCTGTGGATAACCAGTCCACTTCAGTGACCAACCCCGTGGATAACTAGTCCACTTCAGTGACTAACCCTGTGGATAACTAGTCCACTTCAGTGACCAACCCCGTGGATAACCAGTCCACTTCAGTGACCAACCCCGTGGATAACCAGCCCACTTCAGTGACCAACCCCATGGATAACCAGCCCACTTAAGTGACCAACCCCGTGGATAACCAGTCCACTTCAGTGACTAACCCCGTGGATAACAAGTCCACTTCAGTGACCAACCTGTGGATAACCAGTCCACTTCAGTAACCAACCCCATGGATAACTAGTCCACTTCAGTGACTAACCCCATGGATAACCAGCCCACTCAAGTGACTAACCCCATGGATAACTAGTCCACT